AGCAGGAATAGGTATCTGGTTGTTGCCACACCAGGCAAAATATTTCCCCTCGTGGAAAGGCTTTTCTCTCTGCTGAACAGAGAACAAACCGTTTTGAAGGGCTGGTGCATCTCCTCTGGTGGCCTCAGAGGTGATGTGACTTCCCTGTCCCGATTCTTCTCTCTCAAATGCAGTGCAAGTTATTTATGGCTGTTGGCCAGGAGTGTTGCAAGTTAATATGTGAAGCTCTTTGAAGGCTAGATAAGCTAAGTATTGCTGTCTGCTTAATGAGAGGTGAGTCAGAAGTAATAAAAATGGGAGGCAGGCCCTGCACTAAGCCTGGGCTGTAAGCAATGAATTGCTAAGTGTTGCTGTAGCTTAGACTCTGGGTGATTATAGGATACAGGTTCATTTGGGAGCACTCTACATCTGGCCTAAATTCCCAGGTCATACATCTAAGTTGCAGTCATAATTGGAACTGCATTACGTCTTCTTTTATCAGGGCTACAGCAAGTCATGAGTGACAGTGTAAATCCTTTGCAGATAAGAAAATGTAACTTCCTAATTCCTCAATTAATCTCCATTTCCCCTCTCAATTATCCAACTTTGAGAGAGTTCTTGCCCAAAAGAGTGATTACTCATGGTCTGAAAGCTCAGCCTGAGATGATCTCTGCGTTGGCTGTGACCAACTAAAAAAGAAATTTATGTAACTATTTAAAGGCTCCCTTCTGCGGCAGAAATACTGGCTTGATAAACTGCTCTGGGAGCTTCTCTGACAGCCGGTGTGTGCTTCCAGCCAGCTGATTACTTGTGTTTACTAACCCCAACCTGCCCTGCAACATGTTGGGTTGCTGCTCTGCAATTCAAACAGCACAGCAAACTCTTTCTCCACTACAGAGGAGCTTCATCTCATCACCTTGCTCTGTGCTGTGGCTTGTTTCAGCAAAGCCAGCACACAGAGAACCTTTATTCAGCCTACAGGATGACACTTGTGATTTGGGACTTTTTTTTAAAAAAAATAGGAATGGGCTGCAGTGTAAGTTGTTATTGGCTCCGTGGATTTCCCTCTAGAGCTACAATGAGAAATTCACCCTGTTAGTTTGGTGGCAACTGGCAAAACCAGAGTATTTGTGCTTGTTTGGTGGTAAAATACTTCACTGCCTTGCCTCTGGTCTTAATGAGTTACTTTCATTTAAAAAGGCTGTCTTGTAAGGAAAAACTCATCATGATGCTTTCTTTCCTCCTTCTCCCCTCTAACTGAAGTTATTTGGGTCTTTAACACCAAAACAAAACCTCACTTCCATATGAGAACAAAAAAGAACACTTGAAACAGGAATTAAGGTTTCTGTAGGACAGTGTGGTGCTTTGCAGGCTGGACTCAAGAGCAGTATTGCTCTCCTGCTGCATCTCTAGAAACCTGATCCAAAGCCAGCTGACATCTGCTGAGCCTTATTGATCTCTGTCTTGGGATCAGACCCCAGAGGACACCTGGGCTTGGATGAGCAAGTGTTGGACCAGCTCTTGGAGGAGGCAAGGGCAGGGCAGTATCAGCCAGGGGGTTTTTTTGGCAGCAGTGCTGCAGAGGAGCAGGTACCCCTGTGTGCCCTGAAGGGTTTTGGGAGGAAGCCATCCTTTAGTTCCCAATAAGAAGTCGAAGTCAAAGCTTGTAATCAGCCTGGCAGTAAGCAGGTAGATTGCAAATA